AAATCTGAAATAGCATAAATGTAACCTAACATGGATTACAACCTTGTATTGATTTTTTACATGTACAACTTTCAGTGTCTGAGTTTCAGGTGATATATTATATGTCAATGTTCAGACGTTTTTAGCTGCTGTGGTCTTCTGCAGAGCAATTCCTGTCCTGCTGCAGACCCTTTCTTGCACTCGTTGCACATCCAGGGAGTGTGTTTTTTTGCACTGAGGGTACCTGTTTCATCCATGAGGGGAAGCTGATAGCCAGGGGTTCTTCTGGGGATAAATCTGGGTGGCATGGGTCAACGGTACCTGGGTTTGACTTTGTTGTCCAGGAATCCAGAAGATGTGGAGCATCTCCAGCAAGATCCTGTCTCTGACATTGCCTGTTGCTGGTGATGGTGGATGACTCTTCATCAGAAGAATCTCTAAAATTAAAAATATATCAAATTATATAACATTTATTCAAGCAGTAAATACTAGAAAATGAAAACTGAAAAAATAAAATACAGAACTAAAGCTAGAAATATATTTGAACTTCAGATAAACTTACCTCAGCTGTGATGGGAAATCATCTTCACTCACACCTGAATCCTCAACCACAGATGTACATGGAGGTTTTGTTTTCCTGGAAGTAGCAGTAGTAGTATAATAGTATAGTAATAGTGTTAGCAGAAATACTGGACAACAAAAACGAACGTGCTTAGTGGAAAATATTTAGTGCAGAGAAACTTACTGCATTTGTGATAGAAAAACAATGTGGGCACATCTTGCTCCTCATCAACAAATCTTGAGGGAAATTTCCTCTTCTAGAAGATTTCCTGATTTCTTTCATTATTTAGAAAAACAAATCTAACAAAATAATAAAAAGCCTCCGTGAAAAACGCAGCTGAAAAAAAATGAACTACGGTTGGTAAAACGAAAACAAACACGGCAAAACAATGTTAAAAATGACTCAGTATATCCTAAAATTACTATATACAAACAAATATATTTACCAAAAACCTTTATTATTTATATCAGTAGAAGGGACAGAAGTTGAAAATACAGTGGGGCAAAAAAGTATTTAGTCAGCCACCGATTGTGCAAGTTCTCCCACTTAAAATGATGACAGAGGTCTGTAATTTTCATCATAGGTACACTTCAACTGTGAGAGACAGAATGTGAAATAAATCCATGAATTCACATGGCAGGATTTTTAAAGAATTTATTTGTAAATCAAGGTGGAAAATAAGTATTTGGTCAATAACAAAAATTCAACTCAGTACTTTGTAACATAACCTTTGTTGGCAATAACAGAGGTCAAACGATTACTATAGGACTTTACCAGGTTTGCACACACAGTAGCTGGTATTTTGGCCCATTCCTCCATGCAGATCTTCTCGAGAGCAGTGATGTTTTGGGGCTGTCGCCGAGCAACACGGACTTTCAACTCCCTCCACAGATTGTCTATGGGGTTGAGGTCTGGAGACCGGCTAGGCCACTCCAGGACTTTCAAATGCTTCTTACGGAGCCACTCCTTTGTTGCCCGGGCGGTGTGTTTGGGATCATTGTCGTGTTGGAAGACCCAGCCACGTTTCATCTTCAAAGCTCTCACTGATGGAAGGAGGTTTTGGCTCAGAATCTCACGATACATGGCCCCATTCATTCTGTCCTTAACACGGATCAGTCGTCCTGTCCCCTTAGCAGAAAAACAGCCCCAAAGCATGATGTTCTCACCCCCATGCTTCACAGTAGATATGGTGTTCTTGGGATGCAACTCAGTATTCTTCTTCCTCCAAACACGACAAGTTGAGATTTTACCAAAAAGTTCTACTGTGGTTTCATCTGACCACATTCTGACATTCTCCCAATCCTCTGCTGTATCATCCATGTGCTCTCTGGCAAACTTCAGACGGGCCTGGACATGCACTGGCTTCAGCAGCGGAACACGTCTGGCACTGCAGGATCTGATTCCATGCCGTTGTAGTGTGTTACTGATGGTGACCTTTGTTACTGTGGTCCCAGCTCTCTGCAGGTCATTCACCAGGTCCCCCCGTGTGGTTCTGGGATTCTTACTTACCATTCTCATGATCATTTTGACCCCACGGGATGAGATCTTGCGTGGAGCCCCAGATCGAGGGAGATTATCAGTGGTCTTGTATGTCTTCCATTTACTGATAATTGCTCCCACAGTTGATTTTTTCACACCAAGCTGCTTGCCTATTTTAGATTCACTCTTCCCAGTCTGGTGCAGGTCTACAATTCTTTTCCTGGTGTCCTTCGAAAGCTCTTTGGTCTTGGCCATAGTGGAGTTTGGAGTCTGACTGTTTGAGGCTGTGGACAGGTGTCTTTTATACAGATAATGAGTTCAAACAGGTGCCATTAATACAGGTAACGAGTGGAGGACAGAAAAGCTTCTTAAAGAAGACGTTACAGGTCTGTGAGAGCCAGAGATTTTCCTTGTTTGAAGTGACCAAATACTTATTTTCCACCCTGATTTACAAATAAATTCTTTAAAAATCCTGCCATGTGAATTCATGCATTTTTTTCACATTCTGTCTCTCACAGTTGAAGTGTACCTATGATGTAAATTACTGACCTCTGTCATCATTTTAAGTGGGAGAACTTGCACAATCGGTGGCTGACTAAATACTTTTTTGCCCCACTGTATGCGTCGAAAACAATTCCTCCGCTCCTCGAGGAAGTGTGATCATTTCCTGGTTCTTGGCAGGGACTTGCGTAATGTTACGCAAGTCCCTGCGTATACGTTGTATACCACTGGAAAGCGTCGAAGCTCAGCTTTCAGAATCCGTTGGAATTACGTTGATTGCGTAAACAGTTGAAGAGTTATGGTAGTTCAAAGTATGGAAGCCGTTTTCTGTCTGCGCCGACACAACCGCAGTAGAAGCGTTAAGTTGACTAAGGACCTGGCTTACGCACATGTTGGACATGGAGAGCACCTGCAGTGCTGCTGCTGAGAAGATACAATTATGAAATCCTGCAGCATTATCACTTGTACTGCTTCGTTGTCACACAGAACAAGACCCCCCACACGCACGTACACACATGCACGCACACTTGTACACACACGCACATACACACATGCGCGCACACTCACACACAGCCTGAAGCGCAGAATACGGAATGCAGAATATCAGCAGGGGGACAGATTGAGACAGAACGTCATGCGTCTGTGACAGGGTGTGTCCTGTCACTGTGACCTGATTAATCATGCACCCTGGCTAGTTGGTCAAGGGAGATCTCCGTTTGGGTGACTGGTTAGCGTGCGTGACGTTCACCCGGGAGTCTGGGGATCGAATCCCGATTGGACCTTTTTTTTTATATCCGCCACAGATCTCTCTGAAGAATTCACAACATTGACGGCTTCAGCAACGCTGTGCCACTCCGTGGATTTTCTCTTATTTGTTTTTCAAAAGCACTTCCTTTTAATTTCTCCACCTCACCCACAGGTACCTCAACTTCTGCTTGTGAAATAGCGCTTCCTTGATCTGCTGTCGTGATCGAAGCGCTGCAACAAGCCGGCTTATGTATATGCATGAGATCCACAAGGCACTTTGCATTGACCATTTATGGCAGTAAGTGGGCGTGGTGAGGGCGGGATGTGACTAAAATGCAGCTGCAAAACATTCTCGTTAGTCTACGATTTATGAAGCGGAGATTGCGTGCTGCTGTGCGTCCTCCATGTTTGATAGGTCACAAACCTACTTGGCATAAGTACTTTTTTTTTGCTGAGCTTAAGTACGGCTTTAGTAAGGATTCTACGCCATGTTTGATAAATGAGACCCCTGATCAGTAGAATCTGACATGATTTGGTTCATACAGACACTGGAACTTTGTTAGAAAGGTACGATCTAAACCAGTCTAGACCAGTTCCAGAGATCCCCACCGAGTCACCAAGTCTGTTAATTAAGGTGCCGTGATCAACAGTGTCAAAAGCTGCTGATAGATCTAACAATACTAACACTGTGAATTCCCCGTTGTCTGCAGCCATCATGATGTCACTGGAAACCTTAAGCAAAGCTGTACCTGTTGAACGCTTTTTCTGAAAACCAGACTGGAATTTATCATAACTGTTGTGTAGTTCCAGAAAAGTCATCAGCTGATCTGCCACAAGCTTTTCCAATATTTTAGAGAAAAAGGATAATTTAGAAATGGGTCTGTAATTTTTAGGCTGAGATGAGTTCAAACTTGTTTTTTTAAGGATGGGTTCAATAACTGCATGTTTGAAGACAGATGGTCCAGAGCCAGATTGTAGGGATAAATTAATAAAATCTACAATGCATGGGCCAATTTGGTCAAACATCCTGATTAACTATTAATGATAGTAATCTGTACAATATTGTGACGTTAGCACACGAGTTTAAGCTAGCATCCTTAACTCACAAGGCACCTGCTGCTCCTCCCGTTGCTTCTCCTCACATCGCAGCACAATCTCTCTGCTATGGCCGATGGTTTCTCCCTCAGGCTTGTCTCTGCTCTCTGGGGCGAGCAGCAAACTCAGAACTTTATGGTTGTGGTCCATCAGAAGTAGAATTATAAACATTTAATGTTTCCTCTGTGTCAGAGTCGGCATTAGAATCCATATTTTTCTCTGGATTAAGCTAACGGGACTCCCTCAGCTGACGTCACTTGGTTTGGCAACAAAAAAAACTTTCTCACAAAAATGACTAAAAGCCTAAATAATTTTTGTATGTGTAAAAAAGTGTTTAAAATGAGAAGTGGTCAAACAATTACCCCAATATTACTACCAAGCAATGAGGAACGAAGGCCGCAAAATCCGCGCCTTGCCATGCCGGCAGGGCGTGTTTATTAGGCACACTGATGCAGCACACATATTACGCTGATATGTCGGCACGGTGTGTCTTGTAAAAAGGGCGAACCGCTCATGGCCAGACTATATATTTACATTTATAGGATGGCTTGCCTGCATAATGAAAATGTGATGTAGTTCAGGTTTTCTGGGGACTAAAACAGTTACTTTCACATTGTTCTTGTTCTTGATGTTCCAGGATATCTTTGAAACTGCATGGAAGATGGTGTCCCAGAAAAACTTCCAAAAAGTGTCTGAAGATGATTTAAAGCAGGGGGCTTATGATGGAGCTTCAAACAGAGGTAGTAGCTTCCTCCATCACCCATTCATGTGTACTTTCTACAATCCTTAACAGTTTTACTCCCTCGCAGGTCTCTTAGGAGAGGCTAAGAGGATTGTCTCGACCATGAATGAGGTCGCAGCACCCTCTCCAGATGAGCTGGATGACATAAATGATGTAGATCTGTACACAGCTGAGGATTCACAAGACCTGAAAGACCCAGATTCTGCCTTTACTGAATCGTCTCAGCTCTCAGCCGATCAGAACGCTACATGCGTCTCGCTCTTTTTGTCTGATGGAATTGTGGATCTCAATGACAACCTGGAAGAAGAGGCCCAATTGTCTTTGGCTATTCAATATTCTATGGAGTCAAGCCGATGGTCTCTGAAGGATGAAGAGGAACAGCTTCAAAAAGCCTTGGAGTTGTCTAAGAAACTGATCCAAGAGGAACACTCCTCCAGTTGGACTGAGATCCCCAATCTAGACCATCATAAGAAGGGAAATTTTAGTATTTCCTTAGAGGACGCAATAAAAGCAGCCAACATCCTCCAGTTAGATGTTTATGCAGGTTATAATAGTGACCTGATTCGGGTGGACATTGCTTTTGGTAAGAAGGTGAGCCAAAGACAGGTGGAGGAGAAACTGGAGCATAGGAGCGTAAGGCACATGTCGGACTACCACATGAAATGTTTGGACTTGATCAAACGGAAGCATGCAGTGGACATTCAGATTCAGGGGACTATTATCGCTGTCTCTGGCTTTAAAGACTATGTGACCCAAGCACTGTTCGACGTGAAGCTGCTGCTGGAGAAGATTTCCAACTCTGTGCCCGACAAGGAAATCCTGAAGACTGTTCGGTGGGTACGACATGGCCCAGCCTCCTCGGGCATGACTCCCTATTCTGCAGATGTGACGGTATTTATTGAGAACGCCTGGAGGATGAAGCTTAAAAATACTGGCATCTTGCTTGAGAGTCAACCCCACGTTATCAACTTTGAGAAGATGCAAGAATATAACGTAGCTTCTGGGAAGTCGGTGAAAATCTCCAGGAAGTTGCTTGAAATAGGGGATGTGACCCAGGATGTACCCGGTAAGTGGATATTTGTGGTTATTTTTTATGTCTGTGGAGCCTTGAAAGCAGTCATGGGAATAACGCTGTCCTCTTTCATCATAATGCCGTTTCCGTTACCGATAAGAAAATGTGTGCGTTACTAATTCAGCAGCGCGGTGTGTAGAAGCTGTCATCAGCTGATTGGGAGCTAGAGAGGCAGATGTTTTCATCCAAGAGCGTCACGGCCAGTGAAAAACGAGGAAGATGTGATGAATAGTCTACGGCTGCAGGCCCTCAGATTCACTGCTGCAGGTGGGAACCTGCAGCCATGCTCTTCTTGGTGTGACAGCGGGACGTCCTGAAGGTCCGCTCACCTGTTCACCGCTCAGACGTCCTGATCTTCTACCTTCCTAGATCATCCAGCTGTAACCTGTTTCTGATCATGTCTTTAGTCCCGCTGTAGCACTGATGCATCAGTCTCAGACGTCATGGAGCTCAGGTGTTATTAGAACTACCTGTGTGTGTTTACCACCCAGCTTCAGCTCTTCTGTGGTTGGGTCTGACCCAAGTTAGTAAATGTAAGTCCTCCATCAGATTTGTGCCTCTTCTAGTGTCATTTTAAAGGATTTTTATTTATTTATTCAACCATGACTAGATTACCAGCAACAGAAATGCTGCTAAAACACAATTATGTGACGCTGGAAAATTTAGAATACTGTACAAAATTACATTTATTTCAGTACTTTAACTAGACTGAGAGACCATTTAAAGGCTCAGGAACCTTTACATGTGATTCTATTTGCAATTTTAAATTTTAGCTGATCGGGGTCTTGTTAAATAGCACACACTGACATTTGAATAGTCTAGATTAGTGTAATGTGCCTGTTTGTAGTTCCTACTGTTAAATACCCATTATTCAGTTTTATAAAAAACATTTGGACATACATTTTATTATGTTCCAGTCATTAGTCATTTATATTTCAGTATTGTAGTAACTTATAGTAAATTAAATACCGTAAGATTAATTAGGAGGGGGACGCATTTTTCTTGCACTCCTTAATGAAAAAAGTAACAAAATATTTATTTTTCTTGGTAATTAGTTACTTTTAGTAAGTAAATTAGTTACTTTTTTTGACAAAGTAGCCAGTAACTATAACTAATTACTTTTTTTAAAGTAACATTCCCAACACTGCTCGAAAGTGACAAACTCGTAAAAGGTCAACGGAGGAGTCGGGCATTTAACTCAACAGAACTTAGCTGCAGGCAAAGTGATCCTTGGAAATGTCAAGTAGTTATTAAAGCAGGCCTGCTCCTATTCTCAAGATGTAATCTTCATTTTCAAGACCACCTGTCTTATATCGGATTGCTTTAGTTGAACGCACTAGAGAATACCAAAAAAATGTAGCTTTAGAAAAGTTTTTAGACCTTGTTAGTTAAGGAGACTGAGGAGTGCTCCAACCGACAACAGACCTTTTTAAGATGGAATAGATGTTCCTTCTGCTTTTCAAGCAAGCTACTTTTACAATATACACAATTTAAAGGTCGAACCAACTGTTGGCACCTTTTCTGCCATCATTTTTTAACGTAACACACTTACGTAACCATATAACATTTGCTGCATGCTAGCTAATATAGTGTGGGGGCTTTTAGTGAAAAACAAGGCCGTTGTTAGCGTTTTTGGTTTAACATCCCACTGACAACAGGTCAAAACTTCCAGAACCCGCCTCGGACCTCCTACCACTTCCCTCTCTGCTGGCTCACCAACCACCCAACACACACACACTCACACACACGTGTGTGCTGCTAAGGCAACAAACACAGAAACGGCTCTGCTAGTTGACAAAGGACGGGCTGCGTTCACAGAAAGTGTAAAAAAACAGCATGAAATTTGCAAACATGCCCGGCTCTGGCTTCACTTCCTGTTCAGCTGCTCAGAGCCAAGAATACATACACGGTTCGACCACATGCAGGGGAGATGCTCAGAGGGCAGTTTGATGGATGGATGAGACGTTCACAAATAGGGATGTCCCAATCAGGGTTTTTTTTGCCCTCGAGTCAGAGTCCAAGTCATTTAATTTTGAGAATCTGCCGATACAGAGTCCCGATCCGATACTTTCGATACATTAAAAATAATAATAAAGAAAAGGAAGAAACAGTTCCAGAATGTTCCTTATTTTTTATTTAATTGTTTGAATGCTGTAAAACATTCAAACTATGGTGATCCTGTTTCTCTTTATAGTTAGTTTATTATTCTGCTTCCGTACGTTTTTTGGCATTTAATTACTTCCACAATTCTTCAACTATTTACACAATTTTGGTATCAAAACGTTCAGCTCATTCAGCTTATGCCGGCAGTGACTTTTGGTATTAAAATATTTTATACTTTCTGAGATATTCAGCTTTTTCTGTGATTTTTGGTCCCATTGAAATGAATGGGATTGCTCAATTTTCAGCTAAATCCTATCACTTTTTTGAACTCTTATAGTTTAACTTTAACCTAGAGACTTCATTCAAATTTCAACAAATGCACAAGACTTTCAGCTATTACTGGTTAAAAAAATCTTTTTAATATCTATTACAGTTTTTCTAAAATCACAGGTTGAAGTTGAGGTACGGCTTGAGATTTTCTGAAAAAAATCACAAAAATTATAATGGGCAGAGATGGGAGCAGTGACCTTCCTTTGCTCCGTTTCTGGCATTGTCCTGAGAAAACTGTAAATCCGATTGAAATGAGACGCACGCTGGCTTGCAGCTAACTGATATACCTTCATTTTGAGCTATAAATCATGAACGTACTCCAAACATTGTGGCCGTACGGTTCATTTCTTTGACAATATTCAAAATTTAAAAAATGTTTTTTCCACTCTAAACTGAAAATTCCACACTAACTTTTGATCTTCACATTTTCTGGAAACAACTCTTTCCATTAGGGCTGTAGCGAAGCCTCGACGAAGTCGACGGCTCGATTCTAAAAATTTGTCGACGTCAGATCCGGAAGTCGACGCACCGCGCCCACTTGTTGCATCCCCAGGAGTTTGTAAATAGAGGAGGAATCTGCCCGTTTTTCCTCTAGTTCGCCCTCTTCTCCGCCTTCACTAACATCTCCGCCAAATACCGAAGACCCGGAACAATGTCCGTCCACTACTAGATTCCCTGTTTTGCCCGCCTTCGTCTCCCGGCAACGGACAACAACTTCCGGGGTCAGATGCGCTGCTTCGTGTCTATCGCTGATGTAGAAAATCACCGGGAGCGTTTCTCCCTTCATAAAGGAGCTTCTTTCAGACATGAGGAGAGCTGTTTTGGTGGTAGCAGTCTCTCCTCCGTGCTGGTCTGTTTGCTGCTGGGTGTTTTTGGTTTATTTAAACCTGGTAACTTGAACTTAACGTTGGTAAAGCTACTGTTAGCATCTTCGCTAACAGCTTCTTGCATTGGGATAAGCTGTTACGTTTTGGCTTAGAGTTCATCTTTTTTGTGGTGTAGATCTCCCTTTTATTACATTTAGAGTGTTGTGGGTTTTCGGTTTAGTGTAAAATATCACCTGAGTTTGGTTTAACCCGTAACACCACTCGCCTCTCGCACATAAGTGACCAAAACAAAGCAGCATGGAGACACTCCATCTTCTACCACCTCTCAGGCAGCAGCCTGCACTCCCAAGTTCTACACGTCACCAGAACATAACCAACCGCAACACAATAAAAGCAGTGTTATACAAAATGGAAGGCCTGTAGTGTTTATTCTCTTACAGTAAGAATTTATCAATTTTTTTGAGGAATTTATTTGAGATTTTCTGGTTTTTGTTAATTGTGCAATAGAAAAATAATCATTAGATTAGTTTTCTAAATAGTCATTAGAATAGTCGACTATTCGATAAAATAATCGTCAGAATAATCGTTTTAAAAATAATCGTTTACCCCCAGCCCTACTTTCCATCACCCTGACCGTTTGGAGTACCGAAACAAATTATATCTCAAAAAGTAGGAATTTATGTCAGCTTTTCAGAATGGGTTTCATTTTGTCCTTGTTACATTTCTTTCTCTACAAGCCTTAAAAGGAGAGACGCTGATTCTGTCTCATTGAAACCCATGTTTTTTATTAGTTTTTTTTTATCTTTTATTTTATTAAAAATGTATAAAATAAACAAACAAATACAACATACATTAACATACTGAAAAATAAAAATAAAAACATTTGAATGAAAAGGAGCAGATAGAAGAAAAAATCTTATGATTTCTGCCCCTTTTTACGAAATAAAATTGTCCGTCAAACAAACACAATATAACCTCTGTCACTTTCTAATATTTTCATGTCTAATCTTTGACATTATAATTCACCTTTTCATAATACGCTGGCTCTGCTCCCGCCGGACGGACGGGCCCACGGAGCGGCACTGACGCCGTCTGCTTCTCCGCCTCTGCTCGCTCGAGGTTCGACCCAATATACTGTAGGTTCATTTGAATTTGCTATATCCACACATAATATGACATTAGAAATATAACCAGGACAATGACCAGGAAAACGCTTTTTCCATGTGGGCTCACAGTTAGAGCCTTAGAAGTTCTGTTAACATCCATGTTAAAGGAACAGAGATTTTCTCTTCCGATCGGCTTCAGACAGCTAAAATGTTCTCGTCATAGCTTCTAGACAATTCATGATAGGCACATAAAAATTCGCACAGATGATCATTAAAGCCTTCTGCTGCTCACACTTTTTGAATTTGTCCAACACGTGCAGCAGTTTTTGAATGGTGATGAGACGTGTCAGAGGTCTGAAATGACATCTGAGCAGCTGAGCTCTGTTAAATGCATGATTTATGAAATCTTGAAACAAAAATTTCCACCGACCACATCTTTTATAGTACACAGGCGTGGACCGTTAAAGCACCCGAGCGCCAATGCCGCTAAATTTTCTCGTCGGGCGGTAAATACTTGACAATTTACCGCCCGGGTGGCGCCCAAGCCTTGTTTGTCATTTGCACACCGGCTTTCACCTACATCATGGCCGCTCCCTGTAGGAAGGCGCCGTTTTCGTTTCGCGCGCGT